AGCCACAGAGCGTTGCTGTGAGAATCAGCTGAGCTGAGGCAGCAAAAGACGGCGCAGTGCCTGGCGTGTGATGAGGCTCCAGTAAATTAATGCTCTTTAGCTTGTTATTCTACATGAATCTGTAGTGTCTCTACTATCCTCTCCGCTCCCCAGCATCTCCCTTCCTTCTGCTCTTTCTTCAGCCAAATCCCACCTCCAGGAAAGCAGCCACTGCAATAAGCAAGGAGTCATGAGGCTAGAACTCAAGCAGAGGAGGAGGGACAGCGTGCTCACAGCTGGGGCCCTCATACCCAGTTCCAACTTCCTTTAATCTGTTGCCATGACGACTCATAGCTTACCAACCTCTGTGGGGTTAAATGACTGCCTCCAGCATGGGGGCCCTGGATTCGAATGGTCATTTTCCCAAGGCACCAAGAGATGGGAGAGCTCCGTGCCTACACCCATCCTAACCACCACTTTTTCATCTCAGGATACAGTGAGGGCTTCTCTAGCCTGAGGGCTTAGCTGAATTTCACTTCAAAGCCCCAGCACCTAACACGGTGCCTGGCATAAAGGAGATGCTCGAGAAATGGTGGTTGAATGAATAAATAAATGTGTGAATCTGATGCTCTGGAATCTCTAAATCAACAAGGAGCTTCATTTAGGAGGGAGGTATAATGGAATTAGGGTTCCAGACATCTGTCTTTTGATTTCTTCCCCATCTCTCCCCTTTGGGAAAACTGTTTTCTGGTTTCTTTTGATGGCATGTATTCATGGCATCAGCACATTAATATATAGGAAAGCCCCGAGCATACAGATACAACTCACCAGCCCCCCAAAGTTTGGAAGTAGTGTTGCCTCAACAAATTTGTTCATCTAAGCTTTTCTGAAACGGAACAGTTTTTAATATATAAAATTCTATACTCCATGAAAATTAACCTTTCCTTCACAGGGACTTGCTTTCCCCCAACCATGAATTTTTAATGCCCCATCAATTCCCATCCTCCTCTCTTGAGGACCACCTCTCTCTAGCAAAAGATGGACTTGATGAAACGCCGATCTGCTCAGTATTACGGCTGATGAACAAATCTCATATAAGAGAAGGGTTAAAACTCTTGGCTCAGAAGTTTTTTAAAAAAAATTATCTGAGGGATTACAATGTCTATTCTGTCTGCCATTCATGGACCATTCACAGAAAAATCTATATATAGTGGTTTCTGCCCCCCAGTTCCTGGCATAGAGCTCCTAAAATCCTTGTAATTTCCTAAATGATAAGAGCACTAGGAGCATCTTTTGTTGTAATGAGGCAATGCTGGATGGGCTTCTGGGTGGGTGCTGGTCTCCAGAAAGACCAAGCCATGATCAGAAGCTTGGAGAGGGGCAGGAATGGAGTTAATAATTGATCATGCCTATGTGAGGAAGCCTCCATAAAATCCCAATAGTAGGGAGCTCAGAGGGCTTCCAGGGTGGTGAACAGGTGAAGGTTTAGAGCAAATGCTGTACCCGGAGAGCTCACAGAAGCTCCACACTCCTACCCACACACCTCACTTTATGCATCTCTTCCATTTGGCTGTTCGTCTGTATCCTTGATCATATCCTTTGATAATAAACAAGTAAATGTAATGAAACTGTTTTTCCTGAGTTCCTTGAGCCACTCTAGCAAATGAATCGACCCCAAAGAAGGGCTCGTGGGAACCTCTGATTTATAGCCCATCATCGGTCAGAAGCACAGGGGACAAACCTGGACTTGTGATTGGCATCTGAAGGAGGGGGCAGTCTTGTGGAACTGAGTCCTTAGTCTGTGGGATCTGATGCTATCTCCAGATATATAGTGTCCTAATCGAGTTAAACTGTAGAACTCCTAGTTGGTATCATGGAGAATTGCTTAGGGGATGCATGGAGGAAACCAACCCCCACATCATAACTGGGTTCTAGAATCACCTCAACAATCGAGCTTTGGTGAATGAGGCCTGTGCTTAAGAATAACACTTGTTCATTCATTAACCAAATATTTATTGAGTACTTACTACGGGCCCAGCAGGGCCAGCTTCCACGGGCTTGCAGGTCGGACCTTTGCACAGGGAGGGCCTGATGCTCAGAAGGACCCCAGGCATCAGGCTTAGTGATCTCCTGTTACCATCTTGAAATTCTTCACCATTTTATCTTTGAATGTGTATTTTGTACAAGAAGTCTGGCAGGACACTAGCGCAGATGCATGAGCAGAGGAGATAAGCACAATAATAGGTACGAAGGTAAGCTTCCCTCATTCATTGGCTTGGGAGACCAGGGTTCTGTGCTTATCAGCCAACACAAAATTTTGTTTTGTTTGTAATTTAGATTTCGAAGCTATGAAGGGAAGCAGTGCCACCCAGTAGCTTCCAGCTTCACTATTCCCTATTGGCGTCTACCTGGCCACATCCCACATTTGTTACTTGTCTGTCTTTTCACTTCAGAGTCATGCATCAGTTCCTTCAACAAGCAGAGTTGAAAGCTGATTTGGGTTCCTGGCCTGTGTGCTCAGCTCTTTAGTGTAAATGGAAATGACTCCTTTATTCAAACCCAACATGAAAAACTTATTCCAGCTTACAAAAATATTTATAAAGCATCACCCTACTTACCTAGCACCGTGCTTGGAGCTAAGCAAGAACAAAGGGGTATAAAGGAGAGGCAGCCCCTGCTCATATGAGCTTAGGATCTAAAAGGAGAAATGAGTTTTGCAGGATATTCGGCCCTATTCAAAATGTCCACAGAGACATTTGGTGCCTGTCGACCCACCTAATTCGCCCCATATGCCAGGCCAGCAAGGCTCCTAAGACAAGAAGAGTTATTATTGGCAGTACA